TGGTTGAGGGAGTATCCATAGGGTAATTTGAAAAAAATTGATAAATATAAGAAATAAGTCTTATATTTAGGACCGGAAGAGTACTAAATAATTTGTTCTGAGTTGAGTTGGGATAAAAGTCGTTTTGTTCTATGTTGTCTCTCAATCAGTAACAACAGAAAATCACATTATCGTAGAGTTAAAAAAGCCAACAAAACTATATCAGTTTAAATTAATGTAATGAAAAAACAACTGAATTGCATGGAAATCTAATATATATTTTCTTTTCCAAACTCATTTGCCGAATAGAATTGAATATTATTTCACTACATTTCTAATTCCGAACTAACTTTCTCATGGTGGAGAGGATGAAGAAAGGTAGAATAGTTGAATATGAATGAGCCTTGTCAGTTGTCGCTAATATCTCTGTCACCTAATAATGGTGCGCATGCGTGGCTTGATGGATTGGTTCAGGTTGACATATTCCAAAACCCAGAAGCATATAATTAAATACTTTTATAGATGCTTTGCCTGTCACTTTCGTCATTATGACGAAGAAACTATGAAATATATACCTCAAGGGACAATCAAATAAACACTTTTCTGTATTATTCTCATATCATCCGCTCAAAACACTGCTCAAGAACATGCATGATCGTGTGTGAACGCCTGCACAATTCGTTATATATATATATATATATTCATTTTCGTGCTCATCTACTCATCCAAATCCAATGATGTTCACACTCACAATATGAATTCATCCTTTTTGGGTTTTCTAAAGTATACCTTCTGCTTTTCCGCTTTGGTTTATGGAGACTAGCTAGCCAGCACATCATTGGCTTCGCCAATTAATGAGTAGCTTGCGCAAGATTTACTTAGCTATATCATACACTGTCTTGTTCCAAAACTAACTAAATTTGAATACTCCCCGTACTATTTATAAACTTCAATCAAATACCTAATTCACGGATAATAAACAATTAGTTAAAAGCAACAAATAGGTTAGAAATATAATTTTGTTTTCAAATATGCCTTTATAATAAATAAAGAACAGGATGAAAGAGAGTGTGTAGAGAACTATAATAAGAGAAAGTATGACAAAAGAAAGAGAATAAATAATTAAGGATAAAATTAGAAAAAATGTATTAAATGTTAAGAAAAATCCAAATTGAAGCTTATAAAATAGATGATACCCATCCTTAAATTTGAAGCTAATGTCCACTCTTTTATTATTCTAGCTAGGGAACAAAGTCCCTGTATAGTCATTATACAGGCACAGTTTAATCTCAGGAGGTGGTATATCAAAAACATTCATCACGTCTCTCTGCCCTGAACTATAATTCGCAACAAAATCTGCACATACATTTCCTTCTCTATATACATACATGTACAAATCAGCTTATATTGGCAGAAAGTTATTAGAGAATGAATTTTGGTAGCTTAGCTTCATCAAAAATATGAGCATTGATCGATCAGCGGGAAGTTTCTGAATGAAACACGACCTGGATCGTGACCTAGAGGTATATTGGGATATGGAGAAGTGTTTGATTTGTACTCGTTAATTAGTCCAGCAACATTAATTTGGGAGGGAACACGGTGACCCACAAGCACACCGAGTGGTGAGACAGACACAAAGGTTGGAGTTTGAAAAGTGGCACAACAATCAAACCGACCATTGCTGGGAAATGAAAGCCAAGGGGTCCACCACGTACCTCCATCCATCGCCAAACTGTTCCTTCTTCCATGAAAGAGACCTTCACTAATGCCTTGCCGTCTGGGGCTTTTATCTTCAGTGTCTTCTTCACACTAATCTCTTCTCCTCCTAAAGGCTTGACGGATGCAGCCATGCACCCCACTCACGTGAACGCACGATGCACAACATTACTACTTTTAAATTCGAAGATTTCTAAAATCAAACAGTATTAAAACTCTAACTAGTCATATTTGACGACTGAGGTGCTTCTATATATTACAAATATATCTATCTTTTATATAGCTTCTTAAGAAGCTTGTCATAATGATTATATTCCCTTTAAAAGTCGCTGATATGTATCCACTTTCAGATAGATATTGTTTGTTAAAACTCAATTTTCGCTGCTGTGAGTTTTGTTGATAAATACAACTTCCGATTCTTAATATAAGATCAAATTGACTAATTTGAGAAGATTAAGAAAGTTACTAAATTACTTAATTACAACATACCATGTGTATTATTAGATTATATACAAATTTATAACTCAGGTAAATTAGTTTAAAGAAAAACGATAAATATAAATAATTTAAATTAATTTGATAATTTTTTTAATCTTTTCAAATTAATTGACTGAGTTTTACATTAAATATCGTATAAAATTTGAAAACTCAAAAACTATGGTTTAGCCTATGTTAAGGCTACAGGGCAACAACGTAATTAATGAGCACATTGGTTCAGTGTTTTAAGTTTCTAACATATAAATAAATATATTTACATATGTGGTGCACATTTTGGTAGTCTGTTGGGTGAAGTTGATGTATCATCCTACAATATTAGAGAGATTTACCAGCATGGATTATGTTTATTGGAATGGATGGTTTATAATGACGTGGTAAACTAATATTCAAATACTTGTTAGGAGACACCGACTCAAAAGAATACTTTTTTTTTTTTGCTAACGCATAGGTATCTTCTTGTTGGAGATAATCCTATTCGAGACACTATCAGACACTAAATGTGAACACTTTTCTTAGTGGGAAGTCAAACCTTAGATCGTCATATTGTGGGAAACTAATCCTTTCTGTTAGACCTGATTCCAGTTGGTATTGAAAATAATACCTGTGCATAGTGAAAAAAGAAACCGGAGAGAGAGATTCTAAAGGGCCTAACAAATAAATATTTGGCCCAAATTGTTGATACTTGTTAGGCTCAATGTTTTGCTGACAACTAGATCGAAGTCATTGTTCAGCTCAACCTAACGAGGAAAAACACTCGGTAAAAGTTATAATTTTTCCTTGTTCAGCTTAACCTAACGAGGAAAAACACTTGTTAGCCTCATTGAACTAATTTTTACTTGTTGGCAAAAGAAAAAAATTTACTTAGTCATTATATAAATATATATATCAGGGAATTTAGTAATAGTTAAATCCCAAAACAAATACTGAGAGATGAGTTATAATTTTTTTTTTTTGCCAGCAAGAGATAAGTTATAAATGTTGATTCAAATAACTGCTGTCAATTGCAAATAAGACATTTAAATCTTATATATCATCTGTAATTAATACTTTCATATATGCAAATATTTGCGACTCATGTTTTGGCAAATTTTTTGAGCCATAAATTAATTTTTAAGATGTGAGTGTCATTCCCCTTATTAATTGTAATTATATATAAATTAAAAATTATGAAGGTCTAGGATGTAATTAATTAGGATTGTACATATTTGGTGGCATGTAATAATGACCTCATTGATCAAATCACCAGCCGGGTCAATGCCACACATCATCATTACGTACCTTATTAATTTCAAATGTAATTAATAGATTTAATCATTCCTAAATATTTGTTATTTGGTATAAAGAAATTCACCAGCACTACCAAAACCAGGAAAAAACATCCAGTGATGCAAAATTCTGACCTTTTTCTTATGAATTTGCACAAAAAATGTCATTCTTGGCAGCCCCTTCAGAAGGATTTGGTGATTCTTGCCACCAATGGGTGAATTAGCAATACAGAAGCAGTTTTTGCTGTGAAGCGTGAAGTGGCCAGAAACCACCACTATTACTGGCGGTTTTAGCCGCAAATGATATTTCTTTTTATTGAATTCCCCCTCACGTATTTAGTTAAACTAAAACATAAAATCAATTATCCAAAATTTATTTTTTTCAGAGGAGAAAGCACTCGATAAGCTTTTAAGAAGGATAGGCATTCAAATGTTTAATCATCTTCATTTGTTTTGAAAAGATCAATTCCCCCTCACAGTATTCACAAATGCTAAATACTTATCCTGATTCGGTACGAAATGATTAATTAATATAAACATCATTAATTAAATCAATCACATGCTTAAGCACAGTTTCCATGTGGAAGGCGATAGCGTACAGAGGCAAATATGACAAGCTACCTAAATAAAGCTTACAAGGTGGCTTAGGTTATTGTCTTGTTTGGATGAAAGGAAAGACAAAAGATAATGGAGAGTGAAAGAGTCACTTCACTTAATTGTGCATCCTAGTGGACGAGATTAGAGTGCAGGATTATAGATTTGATAGTGTTGAATTGAGAGGAATCAACAGCCTATCATTCTTTAAGCAGAAAATTAATTAATGTTTAAATAAATGGTGGGATGGGAGGCTCATGAAAGCCCAACGGAAAAAAATAACAATGATCATAACTTAGACCACCCAATCACATCATTGGATTGTGATACTTCAATTAGACTCGATGGGGCCAACAAAATGCAGACTTTTTTAAAACAAGAAGTATAGATTCCATCATGTAGAAAGCATGAAGATGTAATCAAATATATGGCATGATTAGTACTACTATATATATTGTCAAATCACATGCGCATCCGTGAACCAACGAATCAATCTTTTCAACTTTTTTTTTTATTACATATTAACCTTTCTTTGCATTTTACTAGAAATAAAAAATAAAGATAATTTTATTAACAAAGTAAATAATAATATTAATAATAAAGAAATAGCAAACACTGAAAAAGAAATTATCAATGCCATTCTAAATATAAGGGCTCAACTTGGGGGAATTAAAATTTATCTAAGTTTAAATTGATTTCTTTTTCTAAGAAAACTAATGTGGGGTATGAACTATAAAGCGGATCAGTACGGACTTGAATCTCTTAAAAGGAAAATTACAAGCTGAGTAAGCTCAACCACTAGGATGGGGTGGTCGGTTTTTTCACCGTGTCCCACAAGATCGTGGACACGACCAGTGACAAAAGAAGCTCGTTTCCTTTTTTTATCAGCGGTGGCGGAGGATGTGCTGAGATTGGGACTTCCTCTTATCTGAACATGATAAAAGTATGTCACATGCTTAACACTGATCTCTACTATTTCCAGGATGTCCTGAGCATCCACAAACAAAATTAACTGATTACTTCGGTAGGTAATGACACGATCTAGTCACTATTACAGGTAATTGGTATGGGACTATTGATTACATTTGTGTCCCAACGACGTCCCCCAAATTTTATTCCTTTTTCTCTACACACGACTAGTTTCAAACTATGCAAGAGATGATCATATAATTATATACAAGAGCTCCTATCATCCTGGCTGTAGCCTACTATAGGCATCAAAGACTTGGATCCAGCATCGAATTACGAAAGCTTATGTATTTCCCTCACCTTTTGGACAGCTTGCTGATCACAAAATGATACAAGTACTGGGATTGTCTTCCATGCTTTGGACAGGGTAGCTGGCCATGGGGGAATGATATGCCATGTGGGGATGATTTGCCATGTGGGTATTATATGCCATTTGGGGATTATATGCCATCAGTGGGTAATATGGCCTATTATAACCACCCCCCCCTAAATATGCAGGGTCTGGGACTATGACTGGTGGTGGAAGTGGTGCTGGGGCTGGGGCCGCCTCTTTCTTTTTCTCCTCTTCTTTCTTTCCGTCCTCCTTCTTCTCCTCTTCTTTCTTTCCGTCCTCCTTCTTCTCATCTTTCTTTCCTTCCTCCTTCTTGTCCTCTTCTTTCTTTCCCTCCTCCTTCTTTGGCTCTTCTTTCTTTTCTCCCTCCTTCTTGGGCTCTTCTTTCTTAGGCTCCTCTTTCTTCTCAGGCTCCTTAACTGGTCCTACTAAGACTAGATCTGTTGACCAGTATTTGCGAAGTTTGCTTACCACAGAGATCGGATCAACTGTTCCCATTACAGTCAACTTCTTCTGCTTCATGTCCATAGAGATGAAATCTATCCCTGCAAGCAGATAGCAATTGCTTTTGCTTAAAGGAACTGGGACAAAAGATCAACAGCTTCAACTAATGAAGAGTCCCAATTCAATCATAACAAACAAAAGATTTTGTTTCTGAGCGAGATTGAGGGTGATAAGTGGTACGAGTTTTGCTACTGTGGTCAAGGCCAACAGAGTATAAATACATAGCCTCTGACTCTCTAGTAGTTTGTTTCATTACAACTTCCTGAGTTTTGATATGCATTATTTTTCATGCTTGTATCTTATATTTTATTTAATATTCCTCCGATCCTTAATATAGAACCTAATTGTTAAGTTAGTTTTAGTTCTAAATATAAAACCTATTTATCATATTTATCAATTTTTTCTAAATTAACCCTATGAATATTCCCTCAACTATAATCAAGTAGAAGAGGAAAAAGAGGTATTAAGAAAGATGATTATGGTATTTTAGGAAAAACGTGTCACATTTCTTATAATTAACTAACTTACATAACTTTCTTAATCTAATCAAATTAGTTAAATAGGTCTTATATTAAGGATTGGAAGAGTACTTCATCTGTAAGGCCCAACATTTGGTTTCTTTACTACATATTGTGCAAGCAAAATGTAATTCTGCAGACAGACACATGATCGTTACTCATGTCAGGCATAGACTATACATAGATGTAGCAAAGATGTATTCGCTTTCCCTTCCCCCACCACAAATCCCTTCACAAATAAGAAACCTCATTTTAAATTTTTTTTTTATAAAAATAATACATCCCATTGTAGACTTGTTGACAGGCTAACGGCCAACTAATATCTTAATGACCTCAAGTAAAATTAAGATTTAGTATTTTTAGCCAACCGAAAAAAAAAAAAAAAAAGAGATTTGATGCATCTCTTTCACCTACCACAACCCAGAAATTAAACAATAATATTTAAACTAGGAAAAGATTTTAATTAGTTAAAAGAGCATATGACGATTCAAAAATTCAGAATCAAAATAACCAGAACACGCATCTAATACTTACGAATTTGAAGATTAAGACTACTTTGGTCATTTTTTGGCATTCCAAACACGAACATACAGAAAGCTAACAAGAGTACATTAATCCTCAAAATATGGGTGTAAATAAGCAGTCTGGCATCCAAACGCACCCACAAAAACCTGAGAGTATTGCATAGTCCCTCCAACGTAAAGAACTGAAGAAGGCACAATACTGTATAATACAACGTGTTCGTACCTGTAAGTGCTGAGACCGTTTTCAGAGCCTTCTGCTTGGCCCTGTCATCGTCCAAATCTAACTTGATCACAGCAAACTTCTGTAAGAATAAATCAGAAAGTGGTTCCGCTTAGATTCAAATAATCCTTAGATAAATACCATAACATAACACGAAAGCAAATATTTTTCTTCCAACCAGAAGCTCTGTTGCTTCGCATAATAGAAGCGGCGGAAAAAAGACATTTAATCCTGATTTAGGAGATAGCAAGATTCGGTCCACATATATTCATCTCAGATCCTTTACGAGAGAGACGAAGTGAGAAGAGTAAAGGTCGAGGAGAATCAGAAGCGAACAAAAAATGACGGAGAAAGGATTCATCGGTTTTCGACGAAAAAAAAGAAAAGAAAAGGAAAAGCCAAAAGAATCGAAACCGGAAGTGGGAATCGTACCTTCATTCTAATCAAGCAGGAATCTGGAGATTAAAAGCAGAGAGAATAGAGAATAGAATAGGCGAGCCTTGCGAGAACGGGGAAATGGGGGTGGCTCTGAGAGAGAAGGCCAACGCCAACAAATCAAATCAAGCTTTTATGGAGAGAAGGGTGAAAAAATAAGTTGGACACACATGGCATTGAGGAATCCGAATCGAGAGTCGAAAGTAACAATGTATATTAGGAGAGAGGGAGAGAAAAAGTTACAGAGAGAGGGAGAGAGAGTGAGTGAGTGTGTAAATTGTACGCAAATATATTGAAGTGTTTGTAGGAGATGAAGAAGAATCCAGGACCAGGAGTGATGCACTGCATGACCCTCTAACGACAAGAGAAGGCCACGCGTACTAGGGAGCGCGTCACAATCGTTAAAGGGCTTTTTTCCTGCAGGATGACTCACGCCTCATGTGAGATCAGCTAATCTTCCGAGCAACTTTTTCCCGCATGGGGTTTGATTTTATATACTCCTCCGATTTTTATTATAAGACTCAATTTGACTTTTTATTTGGTCTTAATTATAAGACCCTAATCTATTTTATCTCTTATATTTATGCATTTTTTCCAAGATAATCCTTCTAATAATGATAGTTTTAGCCAATATACTTAATTAGCAAGGATATTTTAGGAATGACAATACTTATTTATTATAAATAACCAACTTAACTTACTTCCTTAATCTCCTCAAATAAGTCAATTGGGTCTTATAATTAGGACCGGAGGAGTACATGGGGTTTGATTTTATACTCAACCACTATTTTGTGTTTATGTAAAATAATTTAATACTATTTTTTATTTTTATCTTTAGTTAATTATTTGTTTTTTATATACGTGAAAAAAATTATATATCATATTTATTTAATACTCCTTCTGGTTTAAAATATAAGCTAAACTTTATCTATTTATATTTATTAAGAAATTAGTTAAAATTAGTATAAATAATAAACATGCAAGGCATGTATTTTTTTTCTTTTCAAATATACCCTTATTAATAAGAAGAATAAGTAAAAGATGCAATAAATGAATCAAAGAGAAAAGAGAATATATGTGAGGTAAAATTAGAAAAAAAAAACTCATTAAATACTTAGACAAAAGTGAATGTTATCTTATAAAAAAATCAAACCCCTCTAACAAAATTTAGCTTATATTTTGAACCGAAGAAAGTATTGTTAACTAATTTAAAACTTTATTTTAATTTACTTGATTTTATTAGTTATTATTTATATAAAATCGGAGAGAATACAATTTAAAAATATTAAAAAAATTATAATTAAGATTGTGCGAGGATATCCTTTTAAATATGGGTTGAATATTTAAAATGAACATTTTATTTAACGGAAACTTGGATTTAATTTTAAGATAAAATTAATAAATGATTGATAAATAGGAATTAATTAAAAAGAAAATCAAGTTTTGTGTGCCACCAAACAGACGGTGGAAGGCCAAGCTAGGTGGGCCCTGTAGGTGGTGCCATACTGGCAGGCAGTACGATCAATCAAATCTATGATTCATTCATAAAGTTGCTGTATTATTATTCCATTATTCCCAGAAAGTCATGTTACCATTCATTGTTGCTGCGGCTGAAATTAGCAAGGGAATGACCTCAAATTTATTCCTCAAATTTATTGAGTTAGTTATACAATATTAATTACTGTGAGTTTTATTTCACTTATATATTTATTTATTTTAATAAAAATAATAGAGCACACAATTAAACAAGGAAGTAATATAATTTGTTTGTGTTAGGCGGGCCAGCTCCTTCTTTACCCACCTCATGGGTTCTAGAAAGATCTCAGAATTGGTGAAGGACTCAAATTCCAAAACAAATTTTGATTGTGGAGGCCCAAGCCAAAAGGACAGTTGGGGAGGGACGCGCGAGTAGGGAGAGACAAGGGGGCGCGTGGGGAAAAGCGGGCAGGAGGGAGGGGGGGTCGTGGTGGGGCCCAAGAGTCAATAAACAGGGTCGGGTTTTCACGATTCTGACGGCACGAAGTATAAGAACTATGCTATAGGCGCCACCGTGGAACATAGAATGGCGCCACCCCTATCCGCATGCGCGCCGGCGCAGCCCTCTCCTTGCTGGATCCGATCTCATCTTTCTGACTTCAACCCATTCGTCAAATCTGTTTGTTTTCTATCAATTTCAGTTATTAATATCATTTAATCTATACTACACATCCCGTGTATCCCTTCATTAATTCATGCTTAATAGTAAAGCACTTTAAAAACAACCAGAAATATATATACACACACATCGGAGAAATTGCCAGAAATAACAATACCTGGGCGACTTGCGAACCCGGCACTGAAAACGGAAGAGGGGAGAACAAAAGAAATGAAGTTTTTATGCGGTACTAATAATAATGCCTAAAAAAAAACAATAAGATTGGGTCTAACAGAAGGAGCTATTTCCTTACAACGTGACAAACCAATGTTTGAATTCTCGTTGGAAGAGATGTCTATATTTAGTATCTGATAGTGTTTTAAATAGGATTGCTTCCAATAGAAGGATACTTATATTTTAACCCAAAAAAAAAAAATGCCTCCAAAAAGATAGGCATTATGAATGAACGTGAATGAGAATTTGGTCACGTTGCGTATCTACATTCAGAATCTTCATTCCATTCCACTCGCATCATCATCATCTTGCGTCCGAACACACATGCAAAATGATGCGTCGTATGACTCTTTAAGGCTTATCTTCTTTACCGACGTTCCCATCAACTCCATACATATCCTAATCCTATACATACAATTCATGAAGATTCTAATCAAAATCATGTTATTACTTCTTACCTTTTTTTTTGCCCAACAAAACTGAAGATTATCTGGGTGCACCTCAAAAACAAATGCACACTGATTGACTTTTATGTTCATTTGTTGGATGTCCGAAAAGAATGACATCATATCTATGGCTTTACAAATAGATAATTAATTAAATAATACCATCTTTTTTTTTTTTTAGTGAGAAGTAATACTATCTTTATCCGTCATTACTCTGTCTTTTCTGTCTCCAAATGATGATCAAAACGGAATTTAAAAATATTTGCTTGGGGGCGGGGGCGGGGGTCGCTAAACTTTGTCAAGACTACTTTGTAAAAGCTATGATTTTGAAGCTTGCAATTCAAAGAATCCATTCATTAATAATTTTGTTTGATCCGTCTCTGGTCAAGGAAAGTAGCTGCCTGGGGGTGTAGTAGCCGACCTCCGTTTGATATGGCACAATAATAATCGTATGTCATCTTTTGTTCTTTTAGTTTAGACTGAAGTAAGGCTCCGTAAATGAAAGTTTAATATTCACACACACACACGCATATATCAACATGGATGGATGCATCTGGCAAAATTCGAATTTGGGCTTTAAACTAATGGGCCCGAATTTGGGCTTACCTAATATCAATTTCAGCATTATATGGAATAGTAAGCAGCGTTGTATGCAAGGAAAAATAGTAAGCAGTGGGTGATCTCCAAGATCCATCGAGTCTAAGCATAACCCATTGGGTTAGTTCAGTCGTATGTTTGATGAATTATTTTTTTCTTTTGGCGACACAAATTTTAGGGAGCAGTTGGCTCACCCGCGATCCAAAGGAAGGAAAACTAACCTTTAATCCCAACCCTTCCCGGTGCAGTAGTTTAAATTGAGATAGGAAAAGCCACGTGAGAAATCACCACATATTACGAGTTGAGGCCTTAGTTTAGAATATGCCTCTCCCAGCGTCTTGACTAACTCCAGCATCAAACCCCTCCATGTTGTGAAAAAGTCCAACCTCTTCGCAAGCTAAACTCAAAGACAAGGGGTCGTATGTTTGATGAATCAGAGTCAATGTTTACATGACAGGGATTTATGGCTGTGGGCGTAGGATCTTTAGATTTTGTTATGTCCATCGATCTTCTCAGATATACGCGCCGCAACAAGGAAGAATGTCGGGGGTTCGTATTGTATATATGCGTTTGTGCGTGAATAAGAAGGTGATTGTGTTGTGCCCGTCACATGATCACGATTGGGCTTTTGTGCCGTTCAAGGGTGAGACTGAGGCCTTAATAATTAAGAGTTTGCCGGGAAGATCAATAGAGCTTTGCTGGGAATGATGTCCCAACAACCGACGACGTGTAGGGTCGTACACCGGAGGCCACACATATAGCCACGAACTGTGTAACTTTTACCACCCAAAAACAGTAAGAATGGTTTGCTGGGTACAACAGTGTACGTTGAAGTCAAAGTAAAATAGAAGCAGCATAAAGCCCTCGCGCACGCACTTACCCGCAGCAGCAGAAAAAACAAGAGGGATTGAAAGTGAGATTTACATATGTCTTTAGCAATTGGGGTGTGCTGATTTAACACATACAAGTGAATATAATAGCCTTTAGGATTTCTAGAATGGTCAGTGTGATTAGGTTCTGATCGAGCCTTCTGCTTCTGAAGTTCTGATCTTTTAGGTCTGAGGAACACGAGACCTGTGTATTATCACTGGGGACCAACCAATTATCAGCACTGTTACTATTACCTTTTTTTTGCCTGCATCCTCTTTTCCTGGTCCGACCGTAACCATAGGTAGCTATGAGATCGCGACTTCTCACCACAATTGCCATCAGCTTTATCATGATTCATGCCACCACAATCAAATCTACCAGTTCCTTTTCCTAAACAATCCACCCACTTCATTTTTGCTTTCAATCTACCCCAGAGCATTCCCTGTATACTCTTTTCCCAGTCAAAATTACTGCTTGTAATTGTCAACATTATAACATCACTTCATAATTTCTGACATCGCTACGTTCCTTATCGTCTTCTTCCAACTCTCAGTACTGTAAAATTATAATAATCTTATTAAAATTATAATAATCTTATCTTTTTTAAGCCGTAAGGAATTTTTAGAATTATATCCTTCACAAATTATTTCATGTTGTTTGACATTTTGCTCTCCAACACTCGTCGAGACAATATATTACTCTTTTTTTGACCTTGAGACAATGTATTACGTAAACTTTGTTACGTTAAGCTTTTTTTTCCCCTACCAAAATTCTCTCCTTGGTGAGAGCCACCATTCTTCATTTAGGATTGTGTTTATGAGTGTGTTTGGGATAGCAGTGGCAGAAGTAACTTTTTTCTAATATGATTTTTATCAAGTTTAGATTGAGTAAAAATAGCTTCTTTAAACTTATTGCATAAATTTGTTTCAGTGATAGAAGTCAAATACACAAAACATGGATTCAAACATCATTTTTCAACCTACCTGTTACTTTTCCAGTTAGAATGCACGTTTGGACCTCCAAACATGATCCCAAACACACCCTATAAAATTAACCCAAATATTCTTTTGTAATGATGCGTAACTTTAGTTAAATGTTCTATACATATAATATGCTGACGCTTAATATAAAAATTAGATTACTAATTTAAAAATATTAAAAAAATAATTAAGTTAGCTCGTAAACCGCATTAAAACTATTTGATGAAGGTAGTATTTAATATTAAGCTGTAGGAAAAAAAATAAAAGAATACTGCCTTCCCTTGAAACTGGTATTTCACTGTAATTTTCGCGCAAAAAGGATCCAAGATTTGAAATCATATGCGATGCTTTGCCCTCAGAGATGCTCAAAATTACATCGACACCCACCATAACCCACTCCACAACGATGTTCCGGGCATCCCAAGAGGCCAGAGATCACTCTGAAGTGGAGGGAGAAGACGACGGCGATCTCTGCTTCTCTCACCATCCACAACGCTGCTGTCAGATCCCCTGCGCCAATGTCCCACCACAACAACCATACGCCTCCTCCTCTTGTGGTCACTCTCAACTGCATCGACGATTGCGCCTTGGAGCAGGATTCCCTCGCCGGCGTTGCCACTGTCGAGCACGTTCCCCTCAGCCGATTGGCCGAGGGCAAGATCGAGTCGGCTTCCGCCGTCCTTCTTCATTCCCTCGCCTACCTCCCCCGCGCAGCCCAGCGCCGGCTCCGTTCCTACCAGCTCATCCTCTGCCTTGGCTCAGCCGACCGCGCTGTCGATTCCGCCCTAGCCAATGACCTTGGGCTTCGCCTCATCCATGTCGACACTTCCCGTGCCGAGGAGGTCGCTGACACCGTCATGGCGCTCTTCCTTGGCTTGCTGCGCCGTACTCACCTCCTCTCTCGCCACGCCCTCTCGGCTTCGGGATGGCTCGGCTCCGTGCAGCCGCTGTGCCGGGGAATGAGACGATGCCGCGGGCTGGTTCTGGGCATCGTAGGTAGATCTGCTTCTGCCCGGGCTCTGGCCACGCGCAGCCTGGCCTTTAAAATGAACGTTCTTTATTTCGATGTTCAGCAGGTACCTTGTTGGATTATTCCCACTTTACGAATTGTATTGCCATGAAAGATCAGCTAAATATGTTGATTTGTTTTGCTCTTCCCTGATGACATCCTCTTTTGGGGGGGGGGGGGGGGGACAAAAAACCAGGTGCGAAATTTCCGAGCTAGAAGCTCATATTTAGTTTGAGTTTGGAATAGAACTAGAACTGGTATTTCCAATTCTGAAAGAACATTATCTTCGTTTCAGCTTTTGTTAATGATGCAGTGATTGGAATTTCTCAATCTGCAGTCTTCAATTTTTACGCCTTGCTCCCTGTAGGAAAAAGGAAAAGTTGGTTGGCCTTCAATAAATTTCCCCCCAGCTGCACGAAGAATGGAAACTCTTAATGATTTACTTGCTGCAAGTGATCTTATATCTCTTCATTGTGCTCTAACAAATGACACGATTCAAATTATCAATGCTGAATGTCTACAACATGTAAAACCTGGTATATTCATGGGCATATTTAAGAGATTTGTTATATAATTTATTATGATATGTATTCTCTGAATGCCTGTATAATTTTAATATTTTCACAGGAGCTTTTCTTGTGAATACGGGTAGTAGTCAGCTATTGGACGATTGTGCTGTGAAGCAGCTTTTGATTGATGGAACCTTAGCTGGATGTGCTTTGGATGGCGCAGAAGGACCGCAATGGATGGAAGCATGGGTATGGCCGCTGTTGGTTTTGATTTGTGTGGGGATGAGATTTGAAATTCTTTAATTTGTAATGTTTCATACGGGCATCCATATAAATTTAGACATCTGAATAGGGAAATTTTTGTTTTTTATTTACTTTTTGTTATTTTGCTGACTTCTCAGGCCTTGTGATGGTAACCAGAACCATGACTGCCGTGGGTGTGGACTGTCGAGATGCTTTAAGAATTAAAAGATTCATTATCATTAACAATTGGCAGCATTATCAAACAAATTAACCCTTCTTTACCAAAAGGGGTAGTTAAAGGAAAACAAATGACCGGATTGGGAGAGGTAGGAATGAGTTATAGTCCAAAAGCAAGATCTTCTAGTAATTGAGTTTGGAATTGGTATTTGCTCAACTTTGATGAGAAGAGAGTGGAAAATGTATTTTGATACAGGCATGCCTGAAGTTCATCAATGCGCGTGCCCGTCTGCGCGCACACACACACCCAGATGCAGTCACTCATAAATAATGATATATATTAGAGTCTCTATACACAAAAGTAAGAATCCAATGAACAATGATGTTAACATGCTTCGCCTTCTGTCTTCTTCAGGTAAAGGAGATGCCTAATGTGTTGATACTTCCTAGAAGTGCAGATTACAGTGAAGAAGTTTGGATGGAGATAAGGGAGAAAGCTATATCTATCCTGCAGACTTACTTCTTTGATGGAATTATTCCTAAAAATGCCATATCTGATGAGGAAGAAGATAATGAAGTAGGTGATGAAAACGAACTATCTGGTCAACTAGACAAAGAGCGTGCTCTGCAGATCTGTGTTAGGGAGCCTACAGGTGATATTCTCTTAAGCCCTGAAAGCTCCCAAAAGAAAGAGGCTAATCATGTAAAAGAGTCTTCTGCCCGGCATCAGACTTCTGGTTTGACTCAGAGCGGTACAGCTCGGTCTGAAGGAAGGCGAAGTAGGTCAGGTAAAAAGGCCAAGAAGAGGCATTCCCGCCAAAAGGCCCATCAAAAGTCAGAAGATCCTGTATTGGAGAAAGAAAGTACATCTCACAGAGAAGAGGATACGGCAATGAGTGGCACTGATCAAGCCTTGAGCTCCAGCTCTCGGTGTCCTTCTCCTGAAGGCTCAAGAAGTAGAAAAACTCCATTGGAATCTATGCAAGAATCATCTACCAACCAACTCCTAAAGTCAAGCATGAGGTTTAGTGGAAAGTGTAGTGAAGTTCTGAAAGATGGATATATTGTAGCACTATATGCAAGAGACCGTCCTGCCCTCCATGTCTCCAGGCAAAGAGTTAAAGGAGGAGGTTGGTTTCTAGATTCCATGTCAAATGTGTCAAAGAGAGACCCTGCTGCACAGTTCCTCATCATTTTCAGAAGCAAGGTTTGTTTCAAAGGAACTTAGTTGTTGTTATGGGCCTTATTTCATGATATGCCTTGGCAAACAAATTGAAGTTGTATGAGCTATATTAGATGCCAAGTAGCTGATATTTTGCATGTCAATATGTTTGCTCCAGGACACAATTGGCTTGCGATCTCTTGCTTCAGGTGGAAAGTTGCTGCAGGTAATTACATTGTTTCCAAGAGTTTTACACGAAACTTCTCTTGGACTCTAAAGTTCATTGAAGATTCTTTTACTTGCTCAATTGCTTGTGTCAAGGGGAATTAATTCTGGATGAGGGCTGCAACCATGGTATGGATTTCCTGATTCAATTTGTTGCTTTTGGTTTTTCAGATAAATAGAAGAATGGAATTTGTATTTGCTAGTCATAGTTTTGATGTTTGGGAGAACTGGACGCTGGAAGGTTCCCTAGAGGAATGTAGGTTAGTCAACTGTAGAAATTCATCGGTAAGTGCTCTGTTTCTCTGAGACAATTCCCCTACCCAAGTGCTTTTCTTGTTCGGATTTTCTGATTCTCCTGCTAATTATATGAATTGCAGGCCGTTCTGGATATACGCATTGAGATTTTGGCTACGGTTGGCGAGGACGGAGTAACTCGCTGGATTGACTAGCCTAGCCTAATACGAGCATTTATTCTATGGTGTGTTCTAATTCAGAATGACGAGCGAGCTTGTAAATCATTCCTGTCCGGCAACTACGATTTTTTTTTTTTTTAACGTCTCTACGGAACGAGTGTATTTCGTAATGTAGAATGGGGTGCTATTTGTTTCCACAAGAAATGGCTTTTGCTCTTTTCAGGAAATTGATGATATTTGATTTGCGTGATGAATGGACCCGGCTTTCCTTTCGAGTTTGCAAAAGAACCATCACACTATAGAAATTCTCTTTCCTCTTTAGGAAGATGTACTCTTCGCTGCATGTTTCCTTTCGAGGCCGGTTAAACTTCCTTGGTGGGATCATGTCTATAAACTTTTTTAACCATACTTTTGACACACGACTAGATGTTGATCTAGTTTAAATTGGCAGATTTAAATTCTTACGGCATGCGTTGAGGTCTTGTTTTCTTCAACTCTACAAATAGCTTTTCCTGTACTAATTATCATACATTCTAATATAAGCATATTTTTCTAATGATTTTATTTCATTATAATGTTTGATTGACCATAATCGTGAAGATAATTTCTTATATTAAGCATGATTCGTTAAAAATTAGGACTACAAATTTATGACTTTGTACATCTTTATCTTTATTTATGCTTCTCCATTTGCATAAATCTATCCGGCTGTTGTCATTTTAGTTCATTTTATTCTCTATTTTCTCATTCTATTTCATTCCTATCTTTCCCAACCATCAAAGGAGACTTGAAATTCTTAAAAATCAAAGACACTATGCTTTTAAAGCTTACGTTTTAGGTCTTATTTCATTGAACATTTAAACATAAAGTGTGAATATCATCCCTCAAAATTTGAACTAAATCTAACGGTAAATTATCCCCCACATTGCAAGTCGTGCATATTCTTTATCAGCAACAATATTTGTTCTAGATTTGCTGTCCTCCAGTGCATTCCTGGTTAGAAGGGGGACCCGATAAGGATCCGATTAGGATCCAACACGAGGAAGCGATTTCTGGCGCGTGGAACACAACGAGCACTCCTTCGGCCAACCATCCTGTTGTGGTGTCGGCCCCTTCTGGTTTCAGGTTCGCCCCCTTCTTGAAGAAATTGTTCATTACCTCATTAATATCTGCTCATGGCCTAAAAACTCAGAGCATCTCGGCTCTGTCATCAGTCCAGCCAAGTCTCAATGATGTCCCACTACTGCCCACATGGAATGTCTAGTAGAGGAAGTTCATGAGAATGCGAGTGCCATATATTGCATCACTTTCTTTCTCCATAACAATATGCGCTTTCAGACAGCAGATCAGCTAATACAATCTGAAGATAATTTCTTGCGGGAAAAGGATGAACATTCCCAACACCCTTCGGGCTTCACGTGCAGGGCCGGTTGAACATGATCTTTCAGTTCTTCTGCAGCACTTTACCTCTCAATGTTTTTCAAGTTTCAGACAATGTTGATCTTTTCGATTGCACCGCCCTCTTGGCTTGTAATGAAAATATAATGCTGACCTTTTTCGTTTTCTGTTTTGGTTAAATATATGTTTATTCTTTTATTTTAAAAAAAAACACAAATATTTGTGAATTGTGGCATGCTTAAGCAAAATATCAACTTTTAAAATTGACGCCTCATTACTAATGACTTTAAACTCTGGAAACAGCCAGTTGCGCAGAGGCTACGATCTTTACCAACCAAGAGAGTGAGAAGGCATATGACTGAGAATGCTGTTCGTAGCGCCAACTCCTTGAACTGTAGCCTTCTGTTCATTACGCAATACACGGGGCTTATCCGTTGTCCTTGTTTTATTTAGTTGCACAAATTCAATTCCTGTGAGTTGGAATTTAGGCTTTTAGTTCCCAAACCTCCATCCATCATCCCAAGTGCCAACTATATATATGAAATCATCTCAGCAGCAATGTTCTATTCCACCGCTTTCGGGTAAAAGGATTGGTGCTGAGTAAGCATAATGTAAAAAATTAAAAACGTCATGACAGCGTCTGCTTTTGCCGGGAGTCCAACCCTGGTATATTTGGACTACACTGGAAAATGAATTTGCAGAGTGCGTTTTCACTGGTTAGAATACGTTAGCAATGCTTCAAGACATGTCAAGTGCAATACCCTGATGTAGTACTAATTTAAGTACTTCTATTTCAAAATACATCGTAAAGTTTTACACATACATAAAGCAAATTTTAAACTTGAATTCAGGTTCAAACCCTTGTCTTGATTTTGGAGCTATACGCAGTTTGTTTATCAGCAAGCCTGTTCCAAAGCATGACACCTCCGTACTGAGGTGATTTCTTAACAAAAGGCAACACTTGAGCTATGAGCTTTTGTGTGGAAACAAACCCACTGCCAGCTGCAGACGGAGACGCAGGAAGTCCAAGATAGAGTTGGGTCCCTTTAACAGAAGAAGCCCATTGGGCCCATGTGGCTAGGAAGTTAGAAGGACTCCGAGATGAAAACTGACAAGGCGGGTTGTTGTAAAACTGAACCCAAACAAAGTCAAAAAGCCCACTAGAAAGGGCCTCATTTTAGATGTGCATCTGGGAATGGACACTGTGGTGCTGCTGTTAAGTACACTTTCTTTCTGCTTCGTTTGCTGTGTTTCATCAGTCTCCTCGCTAACTCACCATAGTAAGCTTCACCTCCTCCTGCATCAATAATATTAGTCTCAAACAAGTCAGTTTTAAGATAGGTTTCTCAGAATTTTAACAAAAGGGCTATATCAACAATGGGTGTGTTTGGGATGGCGTTTGGACCCCCAAACGCGCATCCCAGTCGGAAAAGTCACAGATGGGGCAAAAAACATGTTTGGTTCCACTTTTTTTGAATCTGACTTTTGGGATGCCAATGGACTTCTGCAAGAAGCTATTCAAAGCTGCTTTTACAGGGCGTTTGACAATATCGTTCGAATTTGCTACCTAAAATTTTCTCTCACCTGGGATAAGACAAAACGAGACATAAAAATAATAACAAAGGCCTCCCCAGCGTCTTCTTTATTTTTAATAATACTCCTTTCAGTTTAAAATATAAGCTAAATTTTATTTGAAGGCACTTAATTTTTTTTATAAGATAATATTTAATTTTGTATAAGTATTTAATGAGGTTTTTTTTTTCAATTTTACCTCTATAAATTCTCTTTCTTCTTTAATTCATTTATTACATCATTTTCTTATTCTTTTCATTAATAAAGATATATTTGAAAAAACAAATATATGCCTTACATATTTATTATTTTAAATTAATTTTAACTAGTTTCTTGATAAATATAAATGGATAAAATTTAACTTATATTTTGAACCAGATGAAGTATTATTTTCCTTACTTCTTTTAAAATGGTCACATTATTAAATATGTACTACTTAATAAAATTCATATCCTTTTAAGTCATTTTGTATCCAAACTTACTTTTACATTTATCATCCAAACAAGTTTCAGCTTCTCAAACTGACTTTTTTCTAAAACCCAATCCAAACATAAATCACATTACCCTATCTGACTTTCACTCAATCTGACTTCTGGAAAAGTCAGATTGAAAAAAAAGTTACTTCTCCACCGTTAATCCAAACACACCCAATATCAGTCATAGTCACCGCTAGTGAACTGACTTTTTAGACACTGGTTGAAAATGACTCTCTGTTTTACTTCTGGAATGGATGTGAAAAGTTAGACAATTTCTACACGCACACACGCACTTTCTGCATGGGTTAAAACTCACAACCGGGTGTAGAAAGTGGAGTTTGAGGCTGACCTGTTTCGATATCAAAGTCTACGCCATCCAGCACAGCATCACCTAATGGTCTGGAGGTGGATTTTCCTCCTAAGGAGTTGTTCCAGATGTAGTCTGCCACATTTATGGCATCTTTTCTAGAGGAGAGAGAGTAAGTCTGAGTGCCACCTCCAACGGAGATTATGATCTTTATCCCTTTCTTCTGGCAGTTCTTAATGTCTTTGCTCAGAGTTTGACAGGCGTTAGATGAAGCATCACAGTGACCTGCGAGATCCATCTTAGGCTAACTGCCATTTCCAAAGGTTGATAAGAATGCAACGTCGACTATCTGGTAGAGTCCGGAGTTGCATGCTTCAGTCAACGTTCCTTCCCTCCCATCCTGGCCCCAATAAACCACGGTGTTTCCCCCTTTTGATTTTGAAACCATAATGGCCAATGTGATAACAAGTAAGAAGACAAGTGAAGGCTCAGAATGTGACTTCTTCCTCATAGTTCAAGCTTTACCTGCTTTTTTCTCACCTTTTGTTGCTTAAAAGTTTATTCATAATTCGGAGTTAGCTCCCCCGTTTATAGAGGTCGAGTGCCTGCTAATAATTGATGATAAAACGGTGTTTAGAATAATATAAACAAAAATTATGTTTAATTTTTTAGTTGGGCTGAGTCGTTAGTTTATATTCATTTTAATAAACTTATATTAAATAGGCGCATATTTTCTTAAGGATCCTTCTTGTCACTTGTTATGTTTTCATTTTATAAAAAAGTGTAGTAACGATGATCCCACATTTGATTTAAGTTTTAACGGTAGCAAAAACGGACAGAATGGCACAGAATGGTAGAAAAAGACATAAATTAAGTATCATTGATGGAGAAATGATATGAGTATGGTATTATAAGTTATAACAACTTGGTCGGACCGATGTTGTTGTGTTTAGGTGAAAATGGAATCCTGTAATTTTATTATTAGCAGCCACATTGCTCAATTAGGACCCAATCCATCTTTTGGTTGTTTGCTTACCTGTTTTAATTGAATGTCTGATTACTTAATCATCACTAATTAATTTTTCCATCTAAACTGCCTTTTGCAGGGCATCATAGATTTGTCTCTCCTCCTGGATTTAATTACCAACCATATTCCCCCTATTACTACTATTTCAGTTTTAAATTTTGAATTTACTTGTACTCATTTTTGAATCTTAATAATTTGTAAATATTGGGCTTTTGTGTTTTTTTTTTAAAATTAGGGTTACGGTACACCCAACACTTTCAACTATTTTTTGAGATGCACCTAACATCCTAAAATATTTAGTAGGGCAATTTTGGCCCAGCCTATTAAAAATAGAGTAATTCTCACTCCTAGTTAACACTCCCATGAACTAATGGGGGTTGGCTCTAGCAGAAGGGGTTAATTTCTTACAACGTAACAAACCAATATTCTAATCTCCGCTGGGAGAGTAACCCATATTTAATGCCTGATAATATCTCAAATAGGAATGTCTCTAACTAGGAGGATATCTATGCAATTAAAAAAAAAAAAACACCTCCATGAACGTCCGTTTTCTCCTTTTCAATAATGGGCTTTCACAGCTGCATCTCACTCTCTCCCCCACCGTTTTCTAGTTCAACTGGCGTTCAGTCTCTTCCCTGTCGCTGTTGAAGAAGACGATGATGAACAAAAATTATTTTATCATGACCGTTGTCGAAGTTCAAGAACTGCATTATCAATTTCTTCCTGCTCTAGCACAACCCTGATGGAGTAGCATGCATCATCGTCATGGCTCCTAA